ATTCTTCTGTTGACCCATAAAACCATGTGAAGTTAACGGAGGAAATGTTTCCCGATGCATTAATTCCCCAAATCTTTTGGCATCTGGATTATTTTTTGTTTCTCTCAATGTAGCATTTTTTCTTCAGACAAATATTTGAAGCTGTCTTCGATGGTCAAATTTTCATTGACACTTTTACTGCTTCGAAGCCAGAGACATTTTATAAAAAGGAAGTCGCAAACTTCGTTCACGATGGCAGAAATCATGGATATTTTGATTAGTAACAAATACGTGTGCAAGTTATTATTACCGAACTTTAACAAACAATAAACGCTCAAAATCTTTTACACACACACACACACCTATATATATATATATATATATATATATATATATATATAGAAATATAGTTTATAAGGTGAAATATAGTTTTAAGGTGTGCTATATTTATGGGATAAAGTGCTCAATATTAGAGATAGGGCGTATGTAAATATAAATATAAAAGTGAACACATTAAGTCAACACTCAGAGGTGACTGGCTGTTTCAGACGCAATCGTCAGGCGCCTGACGATTGCGTCTAGCATGAAACAGCCAGTCACCTCTGAGTGTTGACTTCAATGTTCACTTTATATATATATATATATATATATATATATGTGTGTGTGTGTGTGTGTATTTCTGTCTCTATATGCATGTAGGTGACATAAACATGCCAATTGAATTTATCGAAAGAGACTTAATTCTCCTTGCAACGTATCACACGTGACGTATATGATTGGCTGTTGCATGTGTAACGTCATTTCTAGCCACCTAACAGAAATCAAAACATCATATGACAACATGCAAAGAATCAACAATTTAATGTTTCCGGCAAAAAATCTTTGTGTTTTTTTTTTAATATTCAGGTATAATAGAATGTAGACGCTTCTCGCTACAGAATGGATGTTTAGCAAGCTAGATTCGTAAGTCATTGCTATTAAGTTTAATACTCAGTAGGTGCTACCCAGACGAGGTGTCAACCAATCTCGGAGTAGGAGCAAATGCGAATTCAAAACCTGAGGAAGATCATTTTAAGATCTTGTGACACACTATATTCGGTTCTTCTTGCGTTTGGTTTTGCAAAAGCCTTCACCAGAATCAAATCACATGTGTGGATAGTCTGGGTATTTAGTTTTAAGAACAGCTTTTGTATCCCTTTTACGTAGATAATGACGGCAGAATCCATATATATATATATATATATATATATATATATATATAGTCATCCACAAACAGACTGTTTATATATATTATAGATCTTCATGTAGCTAGACGTCCGATTGCTTACAAGCCAGGATCGAAACCCGAACGATTTGGCATAAGTCAGAGATCGAAACCCGAAACGATATATATATATATATATATATATATATATATATATATATATATATATATATATATATATATATATATATATATATATATATATATAGTATGTTTCAGTTCTTCTTTATAAATTTTCCCAGTGCTGTTAGTCAGGTTCCCTTCTACCTCTCGTTTCGTCAAAACGATGGCCATCCACTTTTTGTTTTTTTATTTCAAGGGACATTACTCTTAAAAGACTTGAGTCACTTCTGGACAGTGCCACCGAATATTGTTCTATTTCCTTGCACTTCCCGAATATTACGAAACACCATCAGAGTCTTTAAGACCCAGTTTAAAATAGTCTTTCAAAAGTGACAGAATCTCACCAGTTTCTCCTCCATTATAAAGTAACGCAAACCATTCTCCCATAACTACCCTACCAGGTCAAGCACCACCGACAAAATCGTCACCCACCAAATCAACACACACTGATGCTGATATATAAAGAATGAATGCTATCATTGGGTGAAGAATAAGATTACGAAATACAGATAAAACAATTCTTTATTATTTATTAATATTTCCTGACACTCTGTAATATTGACAATGGTTATAGTAACTCTTTTGCTGTAAGAGATTCGTAAGTAAATTTTCGGATACTGGAGGGATTAAGTATGTATTTACCCATTCTTTTCACTGTCTTACGATTGTAATAAAAAAACAATATTAAAAATGTTTGATAATCACACAAAACTCTGGGAGAATTAGGTTCATGTCTTTTCCAAGAACATTATTGCAATAATAATACAAGGTGTCTGGATCCTGATTCTGTGATTCATTTTGATTTCATGTCATCAATCACTTTCCTTGGGTAAGCAAAACTTAATCGAGCACATCCTCATCATAATAGGGCACGTAGTGCGGTTCAAACTCATTAACATATGCGATAAAGATTTATCGTCGATTTTTCGACCGAAGGTCACTGAATTGGAATATCTCATTATAAGAGCATTTTATGCAAGTTGATTAAAAAATGTATCATAAAACAATGTATCATAAAACAAATTGTAATGTCAACCTGGACGAATTTTGTGTTTAATTATATTTGACACAGACGACTGTCCACCAAGCAGGTATGAGGCTGGTGTGAGTTTGATTCCCGTTAGTTGTTTAAAAATTATATTCTTGTACCACACTATGTTATGGAATATTGAAATTACTGTTTTAAGGCAGACATGGAGTAACCATCTGTGCTATAGTGAAGTCAATTTGCTTTGAAGTGCTCCACACTTGTAGCCTTTTGACAGAATAAATAAAGTTTAGAAAATATCAATGTGCTTTGCCTCATGACAGAGTTCCAATGCCGGTGTTCGAACGCAGTTATAAAGCTGAGAATTTTGTTAATACTGATTCTCTAGACAGGAGGCAGGTACTCCAGTTGGAATATTTCAGATTTTGTACTGAATTTCATACACATAAAAACTAATTGCCTTAGCGAAGTACATTGAATAGAATCTAAACTAATCTAACTCTCGTCAGTAATAATGGTGTGTGTGTGTGTGTGTGTGTGCGCGTGTGTGTGTGTGTGTGTGTGTGAGTCGCTTAGTAAGGATGGGTCCACGATGGAACAACGAAATGCCCGTAAACTGATGTGTTTAACACACTTTCTTATTTGGTTCGGAAAACAAACACACTTTTTAATGGTCATAAACGAATCTCAAAACACCCCCCCACAAAAAACAACAGCACAAAAAAGCGAGTACTAAGTACTTAGGTCTGTTCTAGGGTGTGTGGATTTTCAGAAAATCCCGTCTATCACGAAACACAAACATCTTTATATTTATTCGCTAATCCATGAACTGATTTAACAGATTATTCACTATATTCCAAATCGCCGACATTGTATTTTTAATAACGTCATTTCCTATTTTTCCTTTGTTTTTCTGCACGCACACACACATGCGCGCGCGCACACACACACACACACACACATGCATGAGTGGGGTGGATGGGAAGAGGGAGTCCTACAGTGGCACAGTAGTATCATTCGAACCCTGTAGTGCAATTTGACATAGTATTGAGTTCGATTCCGACTAACAGCACCACAATTTTAGTTTTTGACTAAAAGCTCATTTAAGACTACATGTCCATTTATAATTACCGCCTATCAGCGCTTAACCTGCTCGTCTCGTTAAACAATTCGTTAGTGTAGTAAGTTTGATCCTTACAGAATATCGTATTAGTGTAGCCTTGTGCCAAATTATAATGAATAGGATTCACTGAGAACAAAACATTTCTTCTTCACACGCATTATTTTATAAATATTTGAGCAACAAAAAAGAAACACTTGTCAACAAAAATTTCCCCAACTACGTCGTCAACAATCAAATAAAATTAACTTTAAAAAATTTTATGAAAATATTACAAATAGCCACGCTGACAGAAACAAAAAAACCTAATTCCCTTCTAACCAGATACACCCTGATTATAAGAGATGAAAAAGTCATGTAAAAAGAATATAATTCGCCGGCACACAACACTTACTGACATCAATAAACACCTTATATTTATCATTTATGATAAAAGTTCCAAATCGGTATGCCGGTTCCTTGCCTTTTGTGGCCAGGACGCCGACCCGGGCTGCGTATTAAGTTACGCTCCCATTTGTTTTTGTCTGCCAACTGGACGCTAGTTGGAACTACCTTTCTTTCTCTCTTTACTTAGCTTCTTTAATTCTGGCTCCTTGCCTATGTTCGACTCTCGGCATTCCGTCCCTAATGGCTGCCGCACGTCGTCAATAACCTTTCCCATACACTATGTTTGTAATTATTACGGGAGGTTTCGATATTGGACTCGACCAGGAGACACACAACGCCAGCACCGGATATTCGATAAGTCCAACAACATCGCAACGTCGGCTCCTCTTTCCTTCCCAACACGTCCAGTTGGAAACTGCAACGTCCAACCGTCGACACGACCGGAACGTCTGCACCTCAACGTTCAACCGTCGACGCGACCGAAACGTCTGCACCTCAACTCCAACCGACGACACGACCAATTCAACCTTTGACACGACCAGTCCTACCACCATTACCATGATTGGCAGACTAATATACCCCACTGTCTTTTCTTTATAAAATAAACTTAGCATTAATCATACATATCTTCGTTCTGTTGTCCATTTTGTTCAACCTTGTCAGATTTAACATCTTTAATACGAAAAACGTTAGCTGGCCTCTTGTGACCTCATGCTTACGATACGGGGGTGCTTGGGCCGTGATTTCATATCCTCCCTCCAGGGAGTCCGCTACAAATCTCATTATAACCGACATCTCAGGACTTCAATATTCTCCCTATGTAAAGACAAAGTTTGTTTATGAATTTTCATGTCCTTTAAGTGATTGAATTTTCAGCAAGAATAATAAAAAATGGCCCTAAATTCTTAAAATTGGTCACAAATTCACCAGTCTCTCACACGTTGAATTGTCGCTTTTCGAAATGCATTGCAATTTGCGCACATATCGAGCGTCACATGACAAAAAAAACTAGAATGTAACTATCAACATAATCAACTATCAACTGTCTCCGTATTGAGTACTTTCCCTTAAAAAGAAATTGAATTTTAAACAATAACTATCTATCTATCTAGACATTCTTTCTAAGGTTAATAAATAACGAGATGTAAAGAAGGGAGTGAGAAGGTGACACTACATATAAATAACAGAGAGAGAGCGAGAGAGAGAGAGAGAGAGATAGAGAGAGAGAGATTAGGAAAGAGAGAGATTAGGAAAGCGAGAGAGAAAATCACAAAGAAAGAGAAAAGTGGAAGAGTCCTGTTTATGTTTATGAAGTTTGGCTGAGCGTAAAAATATGAGGGAAATTCAGATTGGGGAGATTTGCTGCATCAACTCAGGGAGAGAGTCTGAATGCAGACCCAAACGCTTTTTTGTTTAAGAAAATAAAAATTGGATACGAAAAATTCCTTTGTTATAGATCTTGTTACTTTACCAGTGAATCGGAGAATAATTTAACAAATCGTATATGGCTCCCATGGCTGTGAAAGCAATGACTGTCCTGGATACTTTGAGATGATATCTCGCGAGAAATTTGTTTTGCAAACAATTCGTAGATTTGTTCTGACGGCTGTAGACGAAACTATTTTCCCGGTATATTTTGCTGATATGACGTCACGTAAAAATACCCCCCCCCGGTATCCAGTTATTTACAAAAGTTAACTTCGTTTTATACAAAACTACAGCGCGCTGTCGTGCACACAATGAAAATAATACTCAAACCATTAACCAAGTGGTTCGAGAGACAAGATAAGTAAACATCGCGCTGCAATAAGCAATCATAAACCTATTTTCTTTTGAAATGTGGATACTTCTCTTCGCTTCACTATTCGGTTTCTTATTTCTATTATGTTTACTTGCATACAAAATCTAATTTGTTTGAAGTAACAAATCTCATCAGAGGAAATAAGAATAATACTTGACTGTGTTCATTTCTTAACTCTATTGAAGAACGTTTGCGCTGAAGATTTGTTCGCTACATAGATAGAAAATACTTAACAAAAACACAGGCTTTTATCTTGTGTATTGGCGAGTCTGTTTCATGCTAGAGGCAATCGTCAGGCCTGACGATTGCATCTAGCATGAAACAGACTGTCGCCTCTAAGGTAACAATTCCTCTTCTTAGGAATAAATTCAACTCTTCCAATAGTCTAATCTCCTTTTTTAGACTAATTTGCCGTAAATGACCTATTTGCTTTCTTTAAATAGTTACATTTCCATCATCAAATCTTATAAGTTTTTTCAATTAAATAAATTCCAACTTCTTCAATTCAAATAACATTTTTCTTCCAGTTTCTTAGTCTTTCAGACTTTCAGACTACCTGAATAAAAAAAAAAACAATTTACTTATAAGGAAGGAAATGGACAATTTGATCTCTTTATCATACATTCTACATTTCCTTAAACAGACCTTATAAGTTAAAACATAACTTTTCTCAAGTTATATCAAATTTAGTTTCAGAACTCTTCTGAAACCAATAAAAAATCTTTCTCTAAAGTCACACGAAAAAGTCTCCCCTCCCCTCTTCCCATTCTCAAATAAAATTCGATAGACAGCAATTGTAAAATTATTCTTTTAAGGTAACGGTTATTTTACGTGGTAACCTAAAACATTTTACCACGGACCCAGAAAATATAACTTCCCTCTCGACCAAGAATAATTTTCTGACTGAGGATAATTTCCTCTAATTCAAAAGGAACGCCTTCTCCAGCTTCCAAAACAAAAAACTATCGTCTGCTTTGACTTCAAACGCGCATCATTTTAAATACCAACACATTAAGATTTCTTACACTTGTATTTCACTACCAAAGCTCTCGAAAAATGTCCTCAAACTTATATTTATTTTAATATACTAATTTTCTCCAAATAAAATTTCCAAAACATTTCTCTTAAAAGATATTACACAGTTCTTCTTATCGAGTCGCTATATAACACCCATCAAGTGTTGCACACATAGCCTTGTCTGAGATGTTAAGGTTTCAAAGTCATTAAGTGTGCATGGTTCTTCAAGATTGGAGCAAACTAGAAAATGTTCCATAGATTGTGATTATTCGCATTAACTGTTGGGATCAATATCTGTGACATATCCCTATTTCTGAAAGTTGACTTTACATTGACCAACAGCTGTTCGGGGTCCATTTAGGCCGATTCTGTTTCTTTCAGTCTCACTAACACCTTGCATCACAGTAACTTTATTGCCTTGCTTGGTGTGAAATGATTAAAAAAAATGTGGGTACCAAACTCAGTTTAGCATTATTTTAGCATAAGGATGCCAGTGTGAGGCCCCAAGTGAGGACCGAACTCACTTCTCAGTAGCAATAACCTCGTTAATTATTACCTTACAGCGAGACACCCACTTATATACATAGATTGCTAGGGTTGAGTAATTCGCTTTCATTTTTTATGACTGTTTTGTCATATTGTGCAATTGAAAGTCAAGCACTTACTCTTGATGACGTCGGTAGGGTTACTGACGTCATTGGACAATTATGGTGAGAAAGTGATTTGATATATTTTTCTTTCTCTCTCTTCTCTCTCTCCATTCAATTTACTTTATTTATTCTTTTCTCTTTTTTAGAAAATATTTTTTTAATTTTAGTGTACACAAACCTGAAGCGACTTCAACTAATCGCACATAATAGGGACGAATATTGCTTGTCATCGGCCGACTTCAAAAGATAACAAGTGTAATAAAATTCGGGGTGGAAGAAACAATGTTTTCTTTTTGGCAAGTATTTTTCTTGTTTTTTGGTTCTAGATTATTCGCCAAAACAGGTAATTTTAGTCCTTAAAGGAATGCAATAAACTGGAAAGTCCTTAAAAATGGACGCCAGAAAAAGAGAAGTGGAAAAAAAAGGGGAAGAAGAGGAAAGTGAAGGGAAGTTGTCATGTGGTTGTCAGATTGACGCAAAATACTTTTCAATTTAACGAACGGGGTTTGAAAAAATTAAAGTAATTTCAATGGATAAAAAAATATCTCCTTACATATGTACAATCAAATATCAGATATCTCTCTCTCTCTCTCTGTTCATATCTTTCTCTCGTACTCTCTGTATCTCCCTAAGTCTGTTTCTGTCTATTTAGTTACCTAACTCGCTATCTATTTGATTCAGAAATGTAAGCGTATATTTTTTTACATATATAATCCTCGAGAGTGTACAAAATAACAAGATTCCGAGGATTTAACTCCAGTTTTAATATTATTGTAGCTAAATTCGTGCTATATTTGTGTTTAGCCTGTGCTATTTGTTGTTATTTTATAAAGGAAACTCCAATGATTTAAAATCTATCTCACTCTGTTCCTTCCTTCCTATCTATCTATCTATCTATCTATCTATCTATCTATCAAGATAGATAGATAGATAGATAGATAGATATCTGGCATTAGCGTTCTTAATAAAGAAACCTGTATTTTACATATGAATAAAAAAACACCGACAGATTTTCTACTTTTGTTATTACTGCTCACAGACTAGGCTACTACTCCACCACGCTCACGTAACGATTAACATGTCTCATTTTCTGCAGTAACAAAATATTTCTAAAAGTGGAGAAAGATTGCCCCCGTTCAATTTTGTAATTTTTTATTTAAAATATTGGCGTAGATTTCGGTATCAAGTCTGCATGTTATACTTCGAAAATGAAAAAGAAAGGGATTTTTAGAAACAACAGAACTAGTAACAGATTCAGATACGTATTGAGTTCACATAAATCTAGTACAGCTTCAAATGGAAAGAGATGAATTACATACACACACATGATGGTTGTCGACTCGTTAAATGAATATGACCATCGCTGACAATAATTTTTATTTATTTTTGTGACAACGACAATGGCTCTTGAAACCAACAAAGCTTATTGCAGATGTAACACATAATTTGTTCTGTACAGGGCCTAGCCTATTTTGTAAATTCTAGTAGTGATCGTAATTTATCAAATGTCTATCAACATGGCTCTTCCTGTTGCTAATTGGGCATGTACTGGAGAGACATATTTTGTCGCACTCATCCCATATAAATTGCTGAATTGTTGGATCAATGATTTTCTTTTTCCTAGCTGCACACTTAACATTTGCCCAACTCGTTGCATGTTCTTAGAATATCTGAGTGCCTTCCTGAACTTTACGTCTCCACTTATTTCGATCACAAGCAGCAGTTTTCCCCTTAGGATCAATGACAGGCTGCAAGGGACACTTTTAAACTATTCATTAAGCGCTTTCTTGGTTTATGCTGGTGCCAAGTGCTGTAGAGCACATCGTCGTACAACATTTGCTTGGGTAAAAATTTAATTCAAAGAGAAAGCCATTTACTAAGGCGAAAATGTATAGAAAGTGCTTTGATCACAAAATCATCCACGTTAATTTTACGTTCAGATTCTTACAACATTTCACCTTTCCTGGTAGATCTTCTACAACCAAAATGTAGGAGACTTAATAATAAAAATGAGAAAACCAAAACAATAGCAAAAAAAAGAAAAAAATGAATGAAATCGGGTAGACTACATTCCCAGACATGTCTAAAAATAAATTTAAAAATGTAAACTTTCAGCAATTGTCATGTCCTAACGATTGTATTTCAGCTGAAAACAAACTGTTATCGTCCAATGTTGATACCTATGTCAACACTACCAATAATTACAATGTAAATTTTACATATGCTCTGTCCCTAATACTGATCATTTTTCTCATACATATAACATACCTTAAAAACTATATTTTATCATATATAATGACCGGCTACTCTTGTTTTCTAAGCACGCCCGTCTGCCAGGGTGGCTAGCCAATCCCTTTTGCAGTCATCTGCTCAGGTACATTTGTGTTGTTCAATCCCCACAGAACCCACTTGTAGTTTCTACCGTAACTTAGTTACAGTTTCTGGGAGGGAGCCCGTAATCTGTCATGATCAGCAGTTTAAAATACGCTAGTACACTCAAAGTCTCAGTCATGACTTGTGAATTCCATCCAGTGACATCCAGCACAACCATCGACAGCTTCCGAAAAGATTCGTCTATCCAGTTTCATTAACAAGACTTGGGTCAAACACATGGTATCGTTCACCTCCTGACCAATAAGAACAAGAAGTCACATTCCTGACAATGGCGAGTTTCGAACTCGGGTCTCATGGCCACGCGCCCATATAATCATACATATTATCATATACACAGTAACTAATAAAGTTTTAAAGCCACGTTTTAATTTTACTATCTTAAAGTTAAAAACAACACAGTAACAAGTAATTTATGAGTGACTAGCTCACTTTTACTCACAGGTGTGTACATGGCGATTTTCTCTATTCATGCTATGCCAAATAGTCCAGTGGTCAGTATTTTTATGAGCTTTGCTTTTGATTACTGCTTGGATTCAGTGGGAGTATACTGAGTATCGAAATGTTACAGAAGTCAATCGAGATTTTTTTGTCCAGATTTCTTTAATATTCTCTCTCAGTGGCTCGCTAATTGACGTTTTTTTTTGTTTCAACTTATTTTTTGATAATTTCCCATAAATGTTCAATTGGTTGCAGATTTCAGCTGTTCCCCTGCCAGTACAGTGTTGTCACGTTGATCTCGTTAAAAAATTCTGAACGATCTTTCACCTGCAGCATGGAGCAGAATCACAAATAAATATTGTGTACTGATAAATGTGCATATGCAGTTCGAGTTTCTCCTGCAACAGTTCCACATCACTTACAGCATTCATTGTTTTTCTTGGGGGCAAAAAGTAGAGTCCACCTCTTCCAGATTAGGACATACCTCCCCAAATCATATTACTTGGTGGGTGCTCCAT